GGAGGGGTGAGGGGCCCTGAACTGGTATTTGTAATGCTTCCCAGGTAATTCCAAGGTGCAGGAAGGATTTGCTCACTGTATTAAAGCCAAAAAATCCAACAAGCCAATTGCTGTTCAGTCAATTCCCACTCACAACAACCCTATGTGTGTCAGGGTAGAACTGTGCTCCATAGGGTTTTCAATGACTGATTTTTTGGAAGTAAATCACCAGGCCTTTCTTCAGAGGCACCTCTGGGTGGACTCAAAACTCTACCCTTTCAGTCAGCAGCCCAGCGCATTTACTATTTGCGCCACCCAGGGACTTTATGTTAAAGGAAGTCCATCAGAACTGAGCAGTGAAGTAGTCCATGTTAAGCCGTTTACACAACAATAAAACACATTTTCCCTATAATTTCACATTTCCTTTGTCACTTAAAGTTTACCACAAGCACGTATAATTAAAACATTTAAGCCAAAATAATACAACCAATGCAGAAAATTTTAAAATTGCAAAAATATCATTGGAAAAAAATCACCACAAATTCCCCAATACAAAGCTAACCACTATTGACATTTCTTAATGTATGTCCTTCCATTTAATCCATTCATCAAAAATAATTAGTTCACAGGAACCCTTCTCATTGAGGCTGTTCCCAACCCTGGCAATAAAACCCTGTCTCCTGCTTCTCTTTCTGTTTGCTACACCTGGGGAGCAAGGATTCAGCTCTTTCAGAAGTGGTGTTTAACATTATGCTACAGCTTAACCTGGTTATCTGAGCAGTTGAAACCCTTACCATGTCTCTTGAGTTGGTATGAAGGGGCAGAGTCTATATAATCAAACTGAGAGTCTGGTTTGAGCCCATGCAGCTTGTCCCACAACGCCTTACTGTCTGCACAATCAGAGGCAGAAGTACTTTTTGTTGAATGAATGAATCTGCGTTACTTTTAAAAGTTCCAATTCATATGAAGATATCCTGAAAGCCCTCAGCTAAAATCAGGTGCCTTACTTATCACCCAGTTGCCACGGAGTTGATTCCAACTCCGTGGCAACTTCATATGTGTCAAAGTAGAACTGTGCTCCTCAGGGTTTTCAATGGTTGATTTCTTGGAAGCAGATCACCAGGCCACTCTTCTGAAGCACCTGTGGGTGGACTCGAACGTCCATCCTTCTGGTTAGCAGCCAAGCACGTTAACCGTTTGCACCACCCAGGGACTCCACTTGGTCCTGCACTGGGCCCTGTTTCTCTTAAGCAGTTTGAGCTGTCCTTGATGGGATCAGACAAGGGAGAAGAGGGTACCACCAGCTCCTGGACTTGCAGAGGGCTCAGTTCTAATCACGTTAGAGCCTGGTAGACCTGGTATCTGGTCATGTTCACAGGTCAGCAGACCTTTGGACATCTCAGATTTAACATCCTGGTTAAAAGAACCAAAACACCTATGAAATGCACTACTGTACTTTTAAATCTTGCTGTGACTCAAATTTGAGTTGGAATTACCTGTCCTTCATGGTCCTGTGAGCTGGAGAAGGTCACTTACTTGGTGAGTCAGTCCAGTTAACAGCTGCATCAACATTGGTACAAAACATCTCAAAGGCACTTGGTTGACTGTTTTTGTTTTTTTAACTTTTTTGGTAAACAGTTGACTTCGTTAAAAGATTTTAACTTTTGATTGGTTGTGGGAGAGAGGGGGGAAAAACAATGTCCCCGTAAAATGCCAACTCCTTGTGCTGATAATGGAAGTAAAGAGGTCTAAGATAGTGCTGGTCCTTAGCCATAGAATAGACAATAAAAACTTACAGAATGTTGAATTTGGGTGCTGTCTGCCGTCTATGACTTGGGCAAGTCCCATACAATATTGTATAATTTCAGCAAGCGCTCTATTGAATACAAATGGGTCTCAAAACTTCAGTGAAATGCAGTTATCTTGTGGTGTTCATATGAACCCAAGAAACATTTAAATACTGATAGAAACTTAATCCAGGAACAAGGCATCAGCCTGTGCAAACACTTGATTAAAAAATCTTTCTTATTCCTAAAACCTTCCTGGAGCATTGGTGGTTCAGTGGTAGAATTTTCGCCTTCCATGTGGGAGATTCAAGTTAGATTCCCAGCCAATGCACCTCATGTTCAGTCACCACCCATCTGTCATTGAAGGCTTATGTGTTGCTATGATGCTGAATAGGTTTCAGCAGAGCTTCCAGACTAAGACATACTAGAAAGGCCTGGCAATCTACTTCTGAAAAACCAGCCAATGAAAACTCTATGGATCACAATGGTCTGATCATAGGAATGGTGCAGGACTGGGCAGCATTTCACTCCATTGTGTGTGGGACTCCATGAGTTAGGGGCCAACTCAATGGCAGCTAATAACGACAACAAATAACAAAAGCCTCCAGATGTATTCTTTGAAAACATCACATATGCTCCAAAAGGGGTGGCCATTAACTTCACACAAATTTGTCTCCATTTTCATTCCCTCAGGTAAAATGTTATAGAGATTTGATGCTGAGTTCTTAAGAGCTAATTTCTCAATAAAACTAAAGATGGGAAACGGTGGCCCACGCAGTTCCTACTAGGTCCTGAGGGCTTCATCTTAAAAAAGTCTTGCCGTCAAGTAGATTCCAACTTATGATAGCAACCCTATAGGACAGAGTAGAACTGTCCCATAGGGTTTCCAAGGAGTGGCTGGTGGATTCAAACTGCCAGACTTTTGGTTAGCAGCCATAGCCCTTAACCACTTTGTGGCTGGGGCTCCTGAGCTTCCTCTACATTTCGGTAATACCTCCGCTCCAGCACTTTGCATTGTACTTAGGGCTGGATTTCCCAGGAGAGGACAGCAACCAACAACAACAAACTAAGCTCATGCTTAAAGCACCAACAAAGCAGCAGCAATAAAATAAAAGAAAAATTTGGAAAGATGTTAGGCTCCACAGTTAGTGTAATTATTTAGGAAAATGCTTGAGGAGTGTGGGTGGATGGCATACCATATATATTTTTTTTAATTTTATTGTGCTTTAGGTGAAAGTTTACAGAGCAAATTAGTTTCTCATTCAAAAGTTTATATACAAATTGTTTCATGACTTTGGTTGCAATCCCCGCAAGGTGTCAGTCCTCTCCCCCTTTCCACCCCGGGGTCTGAGTTTCCATTAGTTCAGTTTTCCTGTCCCTTCCTACCTTTTTGTCATACTATACATTTTTCAGGCCTCTAAAGATTTCTGTCTGGTCCTGGGTGGATTTTAAGCTCAGGCCCCTCTTGTCATCTGCGCTTCACAGGTACTGGTCATTCATCTTTTTAACCTAACACAGTGTACGGAGCAGTCAGACAATCACTTGGATGCTCACTTAGGTGCTCAGTAAGTGTTTTAAAAACATAAGTGAATGAATAAATGTATGAAGACAGAAATAGTAACTTTCACACACAGACACACAATTTTGGAGTCTTTAGACTAGACAATTAGACATCAGAAACACCACCTCCTACCCCAACTTCCCTTTTATGAAGGATCCTTGAGATGTGTTTGCTTTAGGCACCTTGGAAGTAAGAGGGAGGAACAAAACTTCTCTTTTCTCCTTTCTTTAAATTTTGCGAATGAAAGAGACTAATTATTCCCCCAACGTTGTAAACTATGGAGAGATGCTTTGGTAATATTGCTGATGATAACAAAACTACAAATCAGGAAAGGTAACAAGTGGCCAGATCATAATGATTTTTAAAAAATTATTCCCGGCATATGTTATGGATTGAATTGTGTCTCTCCAAAATACGTGTTGTAAATCCTAACCTCTATACCTGTGGTTATAATCCCATTTGGGAATGGGCTGTCTTTGTTATGTTAGTGCGGCAGAGTTAGCGTAGGGTCTATCTTGAGTCAATTGTTTTTGAGATATAGAGGAGATTAAACGCAAGCTAGCAAGGAGAGATGGAGGAACATTGATGCCAGGCCACATGAAGAGCATCCAGGAGCAGAAGCTCAAAGAGACAAGGACCTTCCTCCAGAGGCCACAGAGAGAAAAAGCCTTTCCCTAGAGGCGGCACTCTGAATTGGGACTTCTAGCCTCGTAAACTGTGAGAAAATAAATTTCTGTTTGTTAAAGCCATCTACCTGTGGTATTTCTGTTAACGCAGCACTAGGTAACTGACAGCATATAAAACAGAGACATTTAGAATTAATTTCAGACAATAAAATAATAATAAACTGGGAACTAAGTACCTCAAAATGACTGAAATATAAATCATGTCCCATTCCAGCAACTAATACCAGTAACAGGTCTTGAAACCAATAACAAAATAAGAGAGAAACTTTCCAAAAGGAATTTAGAATGTTCTTAACAGTCCTCAACAGTGATACAGTGATTTCTTCTTCAATGATTAAGAAAAATTTATGTCTCTTATGGAAAAAAAAATATCTTCTAGAAGCAAATCTTTAAGATGTCATGATAATCACAGGCTCTTAAGAGTCACTACTGCCAAATTTATTTAAAAGACAACTTCATGTTGCAGAAGTGTTTTTAAGATTCACCTAGGCAAATGGTTAACACCTACCACTCAATTCTTCCTTGGCTTGTGCTAGTTACATGATAAGCTCTAACATAAGGGGGGTTCAAACCCACCAGCTGCTACACAGGAAAAAGATGTGGTGGTCTGTTTCCGTAAAGATCCCTATAGGGCAGTTCTACTCCATCCATTTGCTATCAGTCAGAAATGACTTGATGGCAGTGAACTTAGTTTTTTTAATAGCTTATTACATTTTCTTACTGTGATAAAATATATAACATAAAATTTGCCATTTTAAGTATACAATTTAGTAGCGTTAATTATATTCACAATATTACGCAGTAATTATCTCTATTTGTTTCCAAAATTTTTCCATCACCCCAGACCAAAACTCTGTATCCAGTAAGCATTAACTACTTATTATTATTTTTTTAATACAAGGTTTTGTTTTTTTTTAGAAAGAGGAAGTAAGAGAAAGACAAAACGTTTACAGCACTGCAAGACACTTTACATTACAAAATACTTACCGCACGCAGGTTAACTACAGTGAACCACACTCCCAGAGCAACTAGGAGAAGCACAGCCAAGCAAAGAAAGGAACACTGAACTGCCTTGCTGAGGCAAGAATTCAAATAGGTTTTCCAGAGCTGTAATCAGCAGGGTGGGGTTGGAGGTGGGGAGAGTGAGGCCGCAGAACTGGAGGAAAAAAAAAAAATTCTTACCTTTGCTGAATTCACTGCCTCCAGAGCCAATGTTTTTCCACTTAAGAAAGTGGACAGTGCTTTTTGTCTCATTTCATTTATCTTATGTGACGTTTTCCTGACAACATCGTTCCCTTAGACAGCATCGTTTACTTATGGTTGTGTAACCACTCACACTTTATGAAGATTCAAGCTGTGTTAATTTATTTGTTGGGTTGTTAGGTGTCGTCTAGTCGGTTCTGATCCACAGTGACCCCATGCACAACAGAACGAAGCACTGCCCGGTCCCGCGCCATCCTCACAATCATTGCTATGTATGAGCCCATTGTTGCAGCCACGGTGTCAATCCATCTTGTTTTATTGATGTTTGCAGCTGTTTCTTCTCATTTTGAGTCTTGCCACATCAACAGATGAAGACCCTGAAAGCTTCACTCCAGCCACACCATTAAGGTTGACTCTATTTTGAGGAGGCAGCTCTTCCCGAGTTGTATCTTGAGTGCCTTCCAATCTGAAGGGCTCATCTTTTGGCACTACATCAGGCAATGTCGTGCTGCAACTAATAAGTTTTCACTGGGCTAGTATTTCAGAAGTAGACCTCCAGTTCCTTCTTCCCAGTCTGTCTTAGTCTGGAACTCCACTGAAATCATCCACCATGCGTGACCCTGCTGTTATGTGAAATACTGATGGCAGAGCTTCCAGCATCATAGCAACACGTAATCCACCACAGCACACAAAACTGACAGATGAGTGGTAATTTATTTATTTAGGATTCCTATAACTCATTTAGGGGACAGCGGTGATTCAGTGGTAGAATTTTCACCTTCCATGCGGGAGGCCTGGATTCGACCCCTGGCCAACGTACTGCATGTGCAGCTACTACTGGTCTGTCAGTGAAGGCTTGCATGTTGCTGTGATGCTGAACAGGTTTCAGTGGAGCTTCCAGACTAAGACAGACGAAGAAGAAAGGCTTGACTTCTGAAAATCAGCCAATGAAAACCCTATGGATCACAATGTGATTCAAAACCAATCATGGGGATGGCTCAGGACCAGGGCAGGACAGGATAGTGTTTCATCCCATTGCACATGGGGTCACCATGAGCTGGGGCTGACTTGACAGCTAACAATAACAAAATTCATTTATTTTAGGCCAGGCGACAGCTAACAACACAAAACTCACTTATGTTCAAGCAGTTAAGCCTCTTGAAACATGTTTAAAAGAACAAATAGGGCAGCTGGTCTTTGGTCTCAGAAATGCTAAAGAGTTTTCAAATTTCCTTTTTGCCAGGTTATTGGGCCTCATGTTCCAAGCTTAAGAGCTGTATCATGTAGACAAGGGGAGACACTGAAGTGTTGGACGCAGAGCGGGGATCCTGGTAAGTGGTACTTTGGAGCCATCAGTCTGGCAGCAGTGTGGAGACTGGGTTCCAGAAGGGCAAGGTTGACACCAGAGAGACCACTGCAGGGGCAATTTCACAGAGAGCAAAAGATGCAAAAGGGCTGAGCAGGGATGGAAGGAGAGAGGGTGGATTTAAGAGAAAATCTAAGAGGTGGCCATTCTCAGAAATTAGGTGGACGGGTGAGGGAGGGAATGAATCATGTAATGAATCATTAGATGTGTACATATATACACAATACTGGTACATATAAAAACCTCAATTGTTTCAGGAATTGCTGACTAAAAATTTGTTAGTTTAGCAGAGGTTACAAAGTCCTTCACGCCTATCGGTGTGACCCTAACAAGTTGTTTTTTCTTCCGTGATGTTTGAGCATAAAATTCGAATGACTCACATCATCAAAACCCTATTTTATATTTGTACAGAGGGAGTTGTTCCTGGAGGACGGACTTAAATAGAAAAAGGATACATTGGTACGTAGTATTTTCAGAGGAAAATACTCCTTCAACTATTAAGTTAGATAATGGCACCTAACAACATTAACAGTCACACGTACCATTGAGTAGAAAACTCAGTTGTTGTTGTTGCTGTTAGGTGCCATTGAGTTGGTTTCAGCTCATAGCAACGCTATGCACAACAGAATGAAACACTGCCCAGTCCTGCGCCATTCCCCCAGTCGTTGCTATGTTTGAGCCCATTGTTGAAGCCATTGTGTCAATCCATTTCATTGCGGGTTTTCCCGTTTTTTGCTAACCCTCTACCTTACAAAGCATGATGTCTTTCTCCAGGGACTAGTCCCTCCTGATAACATGTCCAAAGTATGTGAGATGAAGTCTTTCCATCCTTCCTTCTAAGTAGCATTCTGGATGTACTTCTTCCATGACATATTTGTTCATTCTGGGAGTCCATGGTACATTCAATATTCTTGGGCAACACCGCAATTCAAATGAATCAATTCTTCTTCAGTTTTTTTTATTCATTGTCCAGCTTTCAAATGCATATGAGACAATTGAAAAGTGTACAGACTGAATAGGTATGGTGAAAGGATACAGCCCTGACACACACCTTTCCTGATTTAAAACCACTCAGTGTCCCCTTGTTTTTTTGAACAACCGCCTCTCGGTCTATGTACAGGTTCCCTATGAGCACAATTAAGTGTTCCGGAATTTCTATTTTTTGAAATGTTTTCCATAATTTGTTATGATCCACAGAGTCAAATGCCTTTGCATAGTCAATAAAACACAGATAAACATGTTTCTGGTATTCTCTGCTTTCACCAAAATCCATCTGACATCAGCATGATAGCCCTCATTCCACGTCTTCTTCTGAATCTGGCTTGAATTCCTGGCAGTTCTGCTGCAGTCATTTTTTATTATCTTTAGAAAAATTTTTCTTGCATGCGATATTACTGATATTGTTCTATAATTTCCACATTCTGTTGGCTCACGTTTCTTTGGAATGGGAACAAATATGGATCTCTTGCTGTCAGTTGGTCAGGTAGCTGTCTTCCAAATTTCTTGGCATAGACGAGTGAGCACCTCCAGCACTGCATCCCTTTGTTGAAACATCTCAATTGGTATTCCATCAGTTCCTGGAGCCTTGTTTTTTGCCAATGTCTTCAGTGCAGCTTGGACTTCTTCCTTCAGTACCGTCGGTTCCTGATTGTATGGTGTCTCCTGAAATGGGTGAACATTGACCAATTCTTTTTGGTATAGTGACTCTGTATTCCTTCCATTTTTTTTTAATGCTTCCTGTGTCGTTTAATATTTTCCTCATAGAATCCTTCGATATTACAACTTTAGGCTTGAATTTTTTCTTCAGTTCTTTCAGCTTGAAAAATGCAGAGCATGATCTTCCCTTTTGGTTTTCTAACTCCAGGTCTTTCCACATTTCATTATAATATTTTACCTTGTCTTCTCGAGCCGCCCTTTGAAATCTTCTGTTCAGCTCTTTTACTTCATCATTTCTTCCATTGTCTTTAGCTACTCTATATTCAAGAGCAAGTTTCAAAGTCTCTTCTACATCCATTTTTGTTTTTTCTTTCTTCCCTGTCTTTTTAAGGATCTTTTGCTTTCTTCATGTATGATGTCCTTGATGTCATATCACAACTTGTCTGGTCTTTGATCATTAGTGTTCAAGGTGTTGAATCTATTTTTGAGATGGTCTCCAAAGTCAGGTGGGATATACTCAAGGTCATACTTTGGCTCTCATGAACTTGTTTTAATTTTCTTCAGTTTCAACTTGAACTTACATATGAGCAATTGATGGTCTGTTCCCGCAGTTGGCCCCTTGCTTTGTTCTGACTGATGATATTGAGATTTTCCATTGTCTCTTTCCACAGATGTAGTTGATTTGATTTCTGTATTTTCCATCTGGTGAGGTCCAGGTGTATAGTCACAGTTTATGTTGTTGAAAAATATATTTGCAATGAAGAAGTCGTTGGTCTTGCAAAATTCTATCATGCGATCTCTAGTGTTGTTTCTATCACAAAGGCCATATTTTCCAACTACAGATTCTTCTGTGTTTCTAATTTTTGCATTCCAATTACCAGTAATTATCATTGCATCTTGATTTCACGTTTGATCAATTTCAGACTGCAGAAGTTGGTAAAAATCTTCAATATCCTCATCTTTGGCATTAGCAGTTGGCGCATGAATTTGAAATAGTCATATTAACTTGTCTTCCTTGCAAGCCTATGGATGTTATTCTATCACTGACAGTGTTGTACTTCATAATAAATCTTGAAATGTTCTTTTTGATGATGAATGTGACACTGTTCCTCTTTAATTTGTCATTTCTGGAATAGTAGACTATATTATTGTCTGATTCCAAATGGCCAATATCAGTCCATTTCAGCTCACTAATGCCTAGGATATCGATCTTTATACATTCCATTTCATTTTTGACAACTTGCAATTTTCCTAAATTCATACTTTGTACAGTCCACGTTCCAATTATTAGTGGATCTTTGCAGCTGTTTCTTCTCATTTTAAGTCTTGCCACATCAACAAATGAAGGTCCTGAAAGCTTTACACCATCCATGTCATTAAGGTTGTCCGTACTTTGAGGAGGAAGCCCTTTCCAAATTGTATTTTGAGTGCCTTCCCACCTGAGGGGCTCACCTTTCAGCACTATATCAGACAATGTTCTGCTGCTACTAATAAGTTTTCACTGGCCTAGTATTTCAGAAGTAGACCTCTAGTTCCTTCTTTCTAGTCTGTCTTAGTCTGTAAGCTCTGCTGAAACCTGTCTACCATGGGTGATCCTGCTGTTATTTGAAATACTGGTCACATAGCTTCCAGCGTCACGGCAACAGGCAAGCCATCACAACAGGACAAATGGACAGATGCATGGGGAGAAAACTCAATATCAGCATAATAAATGCTGTTTTATTTCAGGCAACTAGTGCGTAAGGAGCCATGGTGGTGCAATGGTTAAGTGCTCAGCTGCTAACTGAAAGGTTGGCAGTTGGACCCAACTAGCAGCTCCACAGGATGAGGACCTGGCAATTAGCTCCC